CAAATGATGTATTGATACTATCAAACTTAAAACTTTTTATCAGTGGTAGTTTAGAAGCCACATCAAAATCTTAAGTCACTAAACATACACTGCTGAGATTTTGCTTAGCTGTGCAACTGTACCAATGTGTACATAAATGCACCTAAGTCTATCAGCACTAGGTTATGTTGTGTGCTTTTCTGACATTTTTAATTCAAGGGTTAGTGTCTTAACTGCAATCAAGTTTGTCATTGGATGATAGGAAATGCATAATTACATACCTCCCAAAGAAAAATAGTGGACAATCAAACTCAAAGAATAACAATGTTTTGGTGATAGTTATCAAAATGTTGGAAACAACACCCTTGTTTAGACATTTTGAAATACTTAAGAACCTTGCTCAAAATCATTAAGAAATCCCGTCTGAGATTTATTTTGATAGAAAAGTTGCCCAGGCTTCATGAGAGGTACTTCTGATGGTTCCAGCGGGTTAGGAATCTGAAATGGCTTTTGGTTCTGATTCCTGACCACTCTATCCTGGAAGCTGTGATGTTGTTGCGGCTGATGTTGCTGTGCCTGATGCAGCTCCTGCATCTGCTGTTAAGGATATTTCCATGATCCTTGCCCTCCAGTGTAAGACAAAGGCATTGAGTTAAATAGGGCTAACATTTCTTGATACACAATATTTGATATCTGCATTTTAGCAACAACTTTTCGCTCTGGTGCTATCTGTCGCATCTGGGAAGCTATCAAGACACCAAACATTCATTTTCATCTTTGAAGTCTGGTGTTTGCTTCTGCCCAAGTTTTTCTCCTATCGACTGCAGAACTTGCACTTCTGCATTTGCAACATCCTGATTTTTTTCCTGCACTTTTTCTTTTCGTTTGTAACTTGGGCTTTTTTGTTGGTCGAAAATTACTGGCTGCATGATTGTCAGCATCACTGGTTGTTGTCTCAGTTGTATTAGATTTGTCATCTACATTCTGGGTATCATCATCTTCTGATCCCTCATTTCCTGAATCAATGGTAATGAAATTAGAAGACGTTTTTTCAAGCCAAGCCAGGTAGAAAAACATATCTTCAACCTCATCCTTCACTTTCGATACATCTTTAGACCTAGTACCACTAACTTTGACTTTCTTTAATTTCTTCCTATCACGGGTGTATCAGGTTCTCATATTAGTGAAATACGTTTTGGCCTCCTCCCCTAAAAATGAAGGAATGTGTTAAGCCAGTTCTGGGATCTGAAATACCCTATCTCAATGTTGGCATTCCTGGCATAATGTGCAACAGCCAGACAGTTTCATTTGAATAGCTTTCTTTTTTTCTTGTATCTATGTTTGGTTTCTTTCTTTCTTTAAACACTCTTAAATTCTTATATGATAAAATTTTCTCTCAAGGTCATTTGTAAATATAGATATAAATAGTTCACACACTACTATGTGCCATCCACATTTCCCCACAAATTATAATACTTGTGATTTGTTAGATTGCAGTCTTGCTACCAAAACATGCATTTTTTAAAATCATTCTGTTGCAGGAATGTACCAGTAAGTGCTACAATCAAACATTTAGCAGGATTGTGCAACAAGTTAATACTGGTACAGATGAGTAGCACAGTCACATAGCCATTTGCTGTAACATAGTTCAAAAATAAC